GATGATGATGATGATGATGATGATGATGATGATGATGATGATGATGATGATGAAAAAGACCTATTCTGGCTCAGAAAGTGTGACACATTTTAAGCCTTCAAAATCTTAATTTTCACTTGTGTATGTGTGCAGCTTGTGGGCTTCTCTCTTGGCTTCAGCATCTTTAATTCGTGAAGCCTCATTATGATTTGGTGCCCTCTCTGAATGCTGCTCTCCAGCTGGGTCTGTCAGGATTAATCAACAGCAGGTTGATAGTAATAATGATAATAATATGAGGATGATGATGATGATGATGATGATGATGATGATGATGATGATGATGATGATGATGATGATGATGATGATGATGATGATGATCATGATTATGATAATGATGATAATAAAAATAATAATGATAATATTATTAACTTATTTCACTCAAAGAGAAAATATAAAAGATATGTAAGTTTTTTAAAGTTAAGTCTGTTTTTTAATATAATATCATACTTTCAAATGGGAAGTAATTCTATGAAAAATACATATGGCGTGTATTGAAACAACAACAACAACAAACAAACAAACAAAAAATTTGTGATAGCAAAAACAATTTCAGCAGCTGCAACAACAACAACAGCAACAACAACAAGAGTAGCAGCAACAGCAGCAAAATTGCATCCGCAAACGTTAAAAACGATTAAATTGGAAAAAAACAACAACCAAAAATCATTGACAGCAACATAATTATAATATTAAAGCTACGAGCCTAATGATAATAATATTATTGTCCGAGTTCTGACCTTGACCCCCCAGTAAATGGTGGCCAGTAACCAGGGCAGGCCCAGGCCCAGGAACACGTTGACGCTGTTGCTGCCGTTGATGTTTCCGATGGAGGAATCGGCCCATTTCTCGTTGATGGCTGCACTGCGAGAGGCGAACGTGTCCGGCATACTAGTGCCCAGCGCCACAAAGGTGATAGCTGTAGAGGGAAACGAGAGGTTCATCAAACAACCAAGATTTGAATAATAAT